CATAATGTAACTAATAAAGGAACAATGGTACTACAATTGAATACGGTAGGTTTTCATAAATTGTTATTAAAACTAATTAAATATAATAATTATTTGCAATTGTAGAAAAAAATATCAATGTACTACGCTTCATTTATGCAGTATCTATTATGTCATTTGGGTTTACAGGTTAACATGACCAAAAGGAGTAATTTAAACATTGTATGTAAATTTTGCTCTGTTTACAAAATTATCCTCTTATTAAATAAAATGCTCCAAATAAAATTGTATAGCCCAACTCAGTCTCATTGAACGAGATAGCAAATACCAACATGGATTTAAATCAATTAAATTTAGATTTGATCCCTGTGGAACCCCTTTATTCTATTGAAATTATATCAGGACTTAAAATACAAAATACTTTCTCGTATTTTAATTTCGTTCACGTATTTGATATAACGGTAAAACGGTTATTAACAATAAATTATTTTGATGAATATAATATAATACACATTAACTAAGATTATATTACTATTTTTAATATAGATCTGGATAGCAATTCTTATAGTTTTACTTATAACCGGAATATTGCTAAACTTTATCACTAAAAACCGAATCACTTTATATGATTGCTATACGTATATCATAATGACATATACCCAACAATCGAGCTCTAAAATTGTAACATTTGTGAAATGGATTACCAAACCACCATGCTCATTCAGGAAACATGTTGTGTTAATGTTAATCGCATTTATAATACTATACGCTCTAATCATATCAAAAGCATTTACCGCTCGATTGCTTGATATGTATTCAGTAAAAAAATCGGTACCTTATTTCCAGACCTTACGGGACATTTTGGATAATTCTAATTTAGGTGTGGCGGGTAGTAGCAAAGGAGACACGCCAGACTTTAAACGCCTAACTAATAAAATTAAAGCCTACGAAAGGCGCTCTAATATACACCACATTACAGTTGGTAAGATAGGATTTCAGCATATTGTAAACAGCGATTTAATAATGGGAAAGGCGATTGTGGTAATCGAGTCTAGGAATAAATTATCATATATGAAAAATCAATTGGCATCTCTGCAAAATAATCTAGATTACAAGGTTTTGAACAATAAGTATTATCTCAAGTATTCATATAATTATGTAACGAAAGACAACGTGTTTTATACAACGATCAAATTTTGGTAAGAATTAAATAAAACACATAAACATAACTATAATTATGAATTTTATTTTATGTTAACTAAATAAATGGTTATTTATTTGTATCTAGGTTGAAACAGATAATGGAATGCGGTTTTCATAAGCATAAACAAGAGCTGAATTATTTGATTATGAAACACACCTCCTTTGCTACTTATGGAGCTAAAAAAGAAGATACGACAGACTTAATGCATGATAATACTCAATTAGCAATGAAATTAGTAGACGTGCTAAAGAATATATTCAGTATACTATTCATCTCATACACGCTTTCATTTGCTTGTTTTTTCATTGAATTAATTATTTCATTTTGTAAAATATTCTAACGTCTACTAACTTGTAAGCACTTTATCAAGATTAGTTAAAATAGATTTTATTGATGATTTTTTTTTTGTTAAAATAAATTAACCAGATGAATTTAGAATCTTACCATAGAAATTTATTAAAATGATAATGTTGTCACTGGTCTCGCAAGTTAACGTAATTTAGTCTTAATCTTTAGTATACTTGCTGTTATATTGAGGCAAAATTTAGCAACATTAATTATATTACTTAATTATATTTCAGGAATTGCATAAGATAATAATTGTGTGAAACCATAAATATTATAAATTAATATACAAGGTACATATTTAATATATTTAATTAGTCCATAATTACCACAGAAAAACATAAAACTTAAAAACATTTTAATTAAATGTTGTTATAACTAAATTATAGAATCAATTCTAATGTTTATAATAAGGTTTAGTAAAATATTTTTTTTGTTAACTTTTACATTCGTAAACAATATTATTATTTGTACCTAGTCTATAATTAAAGTTAGATATAATTATTAAATCTTTAAAATGACAAAATTATACAATTAAGAGAGAGAGAGAGAGAGAGAGAGAGAGAGAGACTTTATTAATTACTGTACATTTCAATGTATGTGTTGTAAAAGCATTTAAAAGAGAATTTATCAACATATAAAAATTTTATGCAAATGTGAATTACAATATAAGAAAAATTAGTTTAAAATTACGGTCAGTCGTGAATGTGTTGCAATATTAATTCTGTATTATTTTTTAATTGCTATAAATTCATCAAGTTTTGTCAACGATCAGAATGTCAGAGTATAATCACTTATATAATCATTTTGATGACTTTAATTATTACTTTGGTGTAATTCCCTGGCATTATATGCTTGGGAGGGATAGACTATATGAATGCGCTCATAATGTATCAGTCAATGGGACTATAGTACTACAACTAAACACGGTAGGTTGTTTTTTGCAATTAAATTATTATTAACAATATTAATATATTTGAAATTTGCCATAAAAGGCGGCCATTAGCTCTTACTATATCACATTTATCGAGTACCTATTATGTCACTTGAATTTATTAGTAAATATAACCACAAATGACAATTTAGACATCGTATGTAATTTATCAAATAATATTATCAAAACACATAATAGTTATTCGTATTTTAATTTCATTTATGTTTTCGACCATAAGGTAAATTATTGTGCCATTAAGAACAATCAATTAACATTTTTCAAATAGATATGGATAGTAGTCATTGTTGTGTTTGCTATAACCGGACTACTGTTAAACATTATCACCAAAAACCGGATTACTTTATATGATAGCTATACGTATATCATTATGACATATACTCAACAATCGAGTTCTAAAATGGTAACTTTTGTAAAATCAATCAAAAAACCACCATGTTTATTCAGGAAACATGCTGTGTTATTGTTAATCGCATTTACAATACTATACGCTCTAATAATATCAAAAGCATTTACCGCTCCATTGCTTAACATGTATTTGGCAAAAAATGCTGTACCGTATTTCTTGACATTAGATGAAATTATGAACAAATCCGAAATCAATATAGCTGGTGGGCTTGGAGGTAGAATTCCTGAGCAAAAATACCTGGATGATAAAATAGGACTTTATAAAAACCATTCAAATGTTCACCACTTAAGTGTGGGAAGGGATGGCTTTCAACAAATTGTAAACAAGGATTTAATGAATGGTCGGGCGGTTGTAGTCATAGACTCCCGACGCAAGTTGTCATATATGGCCAGCGATTTGATTGCTCTGCAAAATAACATCGATTACAAAGTGTCGGACAATAAGTATTATCTCATTTATTCGTATAATTATGTATCGAAAGACAACGTGTTTTATAAAAGAATTTTATTTATGTAAGTATTTAATAAATATGTCACAATATTTTTACTTTAACAATTATAAATTATCTAAATTATGAGAATTTATTTTTACGCGCAATAATTAGAAATTAATATGTAAATAAATATTAAAAGTTAAATTTCAAAATTTTATATAAAATTACAAATTTTGTTAAAGTTAAATTTTTGTATATTTTTTAATTTTATACCTAGGTTAAAACAGATGATTGAAAGCGGATTTCATCAACGTAAACAAGAGATGCTTTACTTTGTTAAAAAACATGAATGTCGGTTTAAGTATGAATCTAAACATGGTGATATAACTTCAAAGGCTATAGATGATCAACTAGTCATGAAATTAGTAGATGTACTGAAAAATATATTCAGCATGTTATTCATCTCATATACACTAGCATTTGTAGTTATTTTTATTGAGTTTATTATAAACTTATAACCAGTAAATCGCATTGTTGGTATCACATATTGTTAATATTAATTCATGTTATTTTATAGTTTTATTTTTAAAATAAATGACCTTATTATAAACACTAAATATGTTATTTATAATTTCATTTATTAAGTAATCGACACAATTTATTTATGTAATTTTTTGGTTATAGTAAAAATATTATAAATGCAGCTTTATTAAACCTACATTATAATGGTTACAAAATAAAATTTAGTTTGTTAAAATGCTATTATTTAAAAGTAAATATAATGTAATTATAGTTTTATTTCTGTTATATTTAAGGCCAAACTTAGCAAAACGTAAGATTTGTTTATAAATAATCTATAAATTAAACTAAATTAATTAAATGACATGTATTTAGAATTTCTCTCTCTCTCTCTCCATCTCTCTCCCTCCCTCTCTCTCTCTCTCCCTCTCTCTCTCCCTCTCTCTCTCTCTCTCTCCCTCTCTCTCCCCTTTCTCTTAAAATTTTATTTTATTAATTAATATTAGATTTAAAGGAAACGCCAAACGATATAGAATCTAATGAGAAACCAGAAAGATTACCCGAGGTGCTTCAATTTCTATTAGACTTTCATATGGAGAATCCATTCCCGATAAACATACCGGGGTTTGGGAGTCCGCAGATGATACTCGAGTTAATAAGACTAATATTGCATTCACACCATAGAAATAACGATGTGGTTTTGCGAAAGAAACTGACCTGGATGAATCACTTAATTCACAAAGAATCAAATTATTAATAAAATATTTGTAATAATATATTATTATAAAGTGTTTTTACGCAAATGTTTAGTTAATATTGTAATAATCAGTAATTATTAGTTATTAGTCATAAGTTATATACAATTATGTAATTAATTATGTATATTAATTTTGTAAAATAACAATAAAATTCAATGAAAATATAAGTTTATAAAAAATTAATATATCAAATAAAAATTATGGTAATTTATCCTAATTGCACTACGAATAACATAACCAGATTATCCAAGGTCTTATCCAATTAAATATGGCTAATTGTTTTTTTTGTAATGCATACTTCTTTAAATAATCTATTAGTATACCTATTTATAACTCACAAGAAACAACGTGATAAACATTAATGTATCATGATAATAAAAATAATCATCGCAATCATTATCATGGTAATTATACCACAACCAATCGCGGGCCAGAGTTTCTTAGATAGGCTGCCATTCGTGGGCGCCTGCGATCGGTTGGCCACCACTGGTGTCATGAATTGTTACAAAAACTTTTTATTTCCCGTAAGACTGTACCGGGACAGTGGCCCCGGCGGTGGGGTTTGTTGGTATGTATGACCCTGCACTTTTCCATAATCTTACTATGTTTATATTTATTAATTTATTTGTTTTATTATAGCAATTACAGTAAATATAAGGCCTGTTATACCGGTCTCTACGACGGCCTACGGGTGGCTATGGAGAGGGAAAGGTGTCCCAAGTCTTACTCCACGCGTATTATTATGTCGATCGGGAATAGTGTCGGGTTTCCCGTTAGGATGATGTGCGATAGAGGGGACGGTAAGTCCCAGTGTCCACCCAATCGCCGGAGAACAGGGTAATTTTGCTAGTTATTTTGAATGTGTTTTTTCAGTATATTCTGTCATAGATTTCATCATATACATTATTTAACTAAGTAATTAAGTTAACTAATAATTAAGTAATTATTTAATATCTATTTTATGTATTAATATAATATTAAATAAAGTGTAATAATTATTCCAAATGATAAAATAATTAATATAAAGTATACTACTATTTTATTTTTTAAAAATTAATTAAAGTATTCAACATAAATTAAAATAAAACAATTATTTTCATTAAAACATGTTATTAATTAAAAATAATTAGGTAAATGTCTTAATTGTTAAAAAATATTAAATAAATATACTTTATTATAGTAACCTAACCAAAATACTAAATGTCCGACAATTATTTGCAATGACATCATAAGGATATCGTTTGGGGGATACTTAACATTGAAATCGTGAACCTGTTATTAAAAATAAACTTTTATAAAATAGGATTAGGTAAATGTTTTGTACAAACCTAACTTGTTTTTTAGTATATAAATAACATATCAACATTGATTATTATACTGAACATTAGTTTCTATCACTAAAAAAATTTTACCACAATGTTTTCTTCAACAAAACATTATTTTTCCACCTTATTATTAGTAGTTATAGTCTGTGAACGCAGTGTATTATGTCAAAATATATTTGGTGGGGGCGGTGGGGGTCGTCTACCAGGTGTGGGACAATGCGATGCCATCGTTACGGCCGGTGTATTCAATTGTATGCAAAACTATTTACCCCGTAATATACTCTCGGGGTTTAGAGGGTCCGGGGGTTCAGGGAGTAATACCGATATTTGCTGGTAAGTCTAGTCTCTCTCTCTTTCCCCTTTCTCTTAAAATTTTATTTTATTAATTAATATTAGATTTAAAGGAA